TTATTCCTCTATTATAGGGGATGTAAAAGTCAAAACTTGTGCCTAGGTCTTTACTGGTACCTGCAGCTGCCAGTTGAAACAGTGGCCTGACTTGCCGCCTTCATCCTAAGGTCCCTATGGCCAGCAGCACTGTAAAACATGGAGCAAAGCAGTGGCTCCGGAGAGCAGAGTGCCCTTTTCCAACCTGCAGACGGGAAACAAGTTGTCATACTTCACTGTGCTGAGAACAGCCTGTAAAAAGAAACAGAATTTGGACATTTCATAGAGTCATAGAATGGTTTGGGTTGGAAGGGACCTTAAAGATCATCCAGTCCAACCCCCTGCCACGGGCAGGGACACCTCCCACCAGACCAGGTGGCTCCCACACCCATCCAGCCTGGCCTTGAGCACTGCCAGGGAGGGGGCAGCCACAACTCCTCTGGGCAGCCTGTTCCGGTGCTTCAGCACCCTCATCATAATTTTTTTTTCCTTATATCTTTGAGATAGATCTTCCCTTATGTCCTTCTATCTTTGTGACCCTTCGGACAGATTGCCAGCTTTCAATATCGCATGTCTGTACGGCATCATCCTTTCCTTCAGCCTAAACTAGCATTTGCGCAGGCTTAAGGATTAAGCTTTATGTCAGTTTTTTTTTCCATGTATGTGAAAAAAATTGCTGTTGTAGATTAATTTTTACTCTAGTACTTTTTATATTTCCCATTATTCACAAGGAATAATGGGGGAGTTTGCAGAAAGAGTCCAAGCAGCATGGTCAGAAATATTTAAAAATCCCTTTCTTCCCCTATCCCAACAGTACATAAAACTTCTCTCTTCCCCCCAACGCCACTTTTGCAGGGCTGCAACCTGTATCACTGTGTTGGCTATCTCTATGTTCCTAGCCCATGCGAATGAAAGTAAAAGTCGTAATCTTTAGATTTGGGGGGGGCGGGGGGGGACGACGACGACACACGACCCAAAACCAAACACAAAAAAACCAACACAAACCAACACTGAAAAACTCACAGTATTGCTTAATACTTTCCACAAGTATCTTCTGGAATCCTTAGGGTGTCACCACTTGCTATTATGTATTAAATCCTAGTAACTGCTACATTACGGTGTTGCTAAACTTTAATAAACTTTGCTTTCTCTTGGCAGATTTGCAGCTTGATGCGAGGTGGAATAGCTGAGCGGGGCGGGGTCAGAGTAGGACATCGTATTATTGAGATCAATGGACAAAGCGTTGTTGCTACTGCTCACGAGAAGATAGTTCAAGCGTTGTCTAACTCAGTGGGAGAGGTAAGAAAATGAAATACTTTATCAAGGAATTAAAACCATTGAAAGACTGTTTCAGTTGAAAAGAGTGTCTTAACATAGTATTAAAACCACCACCTCAGCAAACTGGAGTTGAGCACTAAACAAACAATTAATGCATTATTTCATTTCCACCGAACATTTCCAACTTACCTTGGGATTAAGTTAAGACATCTCTCTCCAGTACTTTTAAAGAAATCGGCAAGGAATGAACAAGATACTCCAGTTTATCAGTCAAAAACCCCTACTGAATTTGCAGGTAGTATCATACACAACCCTGGCCAGATCCTCCACTAGTTCCTTTGGCAAAAATCCAAGATAACTTGTTTTCCTGTGGAAAATTATACTTGAAAAATAATAGAGAGGACGTGCACGTAGGCACAAAGCTGTAGATTTCAATAGAACCTCCATGCCTTTACGGTATCTCTTTGCATCTCACTAAATGTATTGAGGACAGCATGAAACTTTTTTTATTTCATCATGAAGAGACCAAGATATGAAGGCAGCATATGGCTGGTGAGGGTCTGTGTTATCAGTTAGTGAAGTTCACCTTCGTTCCTCTTGCGTTGTCCGATAGGTACTGAAGAGCTGTTACTACAGCTCCAATACAACTCTGACGCCTTTAATCGTGTTGGTCTGTAAAACCCCTCAGACCCTTATCACAGTACTCCTTGTAGACAGAACTTAAATGCACTAGCCAGGAGAGAACCTGTTCACTAAGCTCTTGATGGGCATTTAAATATCAGGAAGTCCACGTTTGGTGTTCAGAGGATCATACTCCAATTAGCAGAAAACACATTTGAAGTGACGCTCCCGCAGGGAAGGAAGACAGAAGAAAAACCTAAGGTCAGTTAATGCCAGAACAGCAGAAAGACTTTTCAGAGGTTTGTGCTGCTGCTTTTTTACGGGCTGTAATTGGATTAGGGAGTAACAGCAGAAAGTGTTTACGTGTCTTTTTAAGCTATATAATGTTGCATCCTGTTGTCACTTAAAAACAAAAACAAAAACCAAACAAAAAAACAACAGAAAAGCAAAGACAGCAAACCAGCCTGTCAGAACTGGAGAACGTTGAACTAGAAACTTCAGTCACCTTCTCATCTACAGAAACCAGGCCAGCAAGTGCACTTACGCCCCGGGGTGGGGGGACACCTTGGGCCTTACGGATTACTTTAAACTAGTAACAATGCTGCTAATTTCTGTGTCAATCAATTGACAGATCCACATGAAGACGATGCCAGCAGCCATGTTCAGGCTCCTAACTGGGCAAGAGACACCCCTATACATCTAGCACGTGCCTCTTGCAGCCAAGTAACGAAACGACCCATCAAAGCTGAGGCCCTCGTAGCTGAAGAGAATTTTGTATTTTGTACGAATGAAAGGCTTTAAAGCTGACCTGAGGACTCCGAAACAAGGAACAGACAGGTGTCTCTGCCTTTTCTCTCCTTCCTTTTTATTTCCTTGCCAAAAAGTGATGAGAAGGATGGTCAAGGACAATAATCACTGACAAAAATCTTTGTAAAACATTTAAGTATTTTGCAACATCTTCTAAACTCTTTTCTCATAAAACTTAAAACATATTTATTTGTAACCTTGATGTGGAGTGATGTATGTATGTCTGTCTTGTTTGATAACACGGTGAATGTGAATATTTGATGAATGAGACTGCAGAAAATGGCAGAGAAGCAGTTAGAGAAAGCTATGGCTGCCTCAATCTAAAAAGAAAAAAAATCCCAGTCCCATAAAGTGGTCCAGTACTGATGGCTTTGCGTGACTTTAAAACTGGTGCCGAACAGATGGTATTTCAGTGGAAAGGAATGTGTGCAGTTAAAACTTTTAGACTCTAATGTAAAGAAAACCACTGTAGTGCTTGGTATTGTTATGACAAGTGTAACCTCTTTGGCAAGGTGTGAACATAAACATGTAACAAGTGTTTCATATGCTAAATAAAGAATAATTGCCACAAGATTAAAATCAAAATATTTATTTAGATACATATTTATTTTTAATGCTTGTGATTTTTATGATTTAACAGAGTGATTTCATGGATAACTTATTGCACAGGTTGTGTAATGTATGTGTTGGGCTGGGGTTTTTTTCTTTGATCTTTGCATATTACCTTTTTTGTTTATATTAGCTCAAAATGGGAAAGCCATGCTTACCTGTTTCTGTCTTTTATAAAGCATTCTTATTCCTAAGGCAATGTGTTCTGAATGTAAATGTTTTTGACAAATAACCTAGCACCATCAGCAGTATTAGAATGTGTGTAGATAAAAAACCTAGTAGTAAAGTTGTATTCCTAATGCGATAAATGTTAATTGGTGTATTTTTTTGTCTAGATTTTTTTTTTTTTGGCCAAGGCCTGGAAGAAAATACACTGTGACTTAAGAAGCCTTACCATGCAGTGACTAAAGAGCTTTAGATGACTGTACTTCAAGGAGTAGTGTGTTGCATGCAACTGACCTTAGGAAAGAATTAACCTACTATCACTAATAAATCTGAAATAATAAAGGAAGATTGCATATTTTGTTTGTTGTGTAAGTTTACGTAGTAAAAAATCCAAGTAGAAGATCACTTAATTCTTCATCTAAGTGCAGTTGCAAAGGTCACAGATTATTTTTTTTAAAAAAATTTATCTCTTGAATTAGGAATTTGTGTATCGTTATTATCTTGAAAGTAGATGCTTTCAATCAGCATACCTTGTTGCCACTGGATGTCACTGTAACTTCACATCAATACAGAAGCATGCTATAATTAAAATACATTAAAATGGATGATTCTGTAAACTTTAAACTACCCATCTTCAGCTACATTCCTTTGTGACCTTTTCACAGGGTGTCTGCCCAGCTCAGAATGACACACATGAAACCAGTATATGATTAAACCTCAAATGGAAACTAACGCTACTGACAAGCAGTGCTACAAAAAAATTAAAACCCTGAAACGTCAACCTGTGGTAGGTTCTTTATGAGAACCTTTTGTTTAAGGCCTTTCCAGTTTCCTCTGAGGGAGCCAGGATGAAGCTTGCACTGGAAGACGTTGTGGGCAGACCTGTGTTTATGCTGGTAATCAAATCAGTGTCAATGATACTTTTTTCTTCTTTTTTTTTTTTTTTTTTAAGAGCAATGTTAAATAAATCATAAATGCAGCAGAACCATGAGGATGTGTTTTAGTAATACAGTTGTCAAAACTACTAATTGGAGTAACAATTCTTTTAGAAAAAATGTTCAAGGCTCTGCTAGATAAAAATTCATCTAACTTCCCCTATCAGTTGGCATCTGTAAAAAGTTTGTGAAATATGTTTTGGAAATGCAGAATTTCAGACTTCTTCCCTAATGCTTCTTTTGGTCACAATTCGCAGAGTACTGACCTGTCAGTTTTCAACAGCACACGCTGCTCCGTAATAAACTCGGGAGCACTCAGAACAAACCAAAATAAACCACACCGCAGGCGTTAATGCAATTGAAAAAGGCAGCATAGGGGGGCAGGGGCCATTGCCCCAGGACAGAGCAGTCAGCCCGGCATGAGGGAGACTGGGCAGATGGATTAGAAGTAGCACTGTACGTGCGTACGGATCACCTTTATGTTTCTATCCAAATCAGTTGTTGAAAAAGCAAAGTCCAGAAATACTTTTTTATTAAAACACTGATCATAGTTAAAACACTTTGAGGTACATTAAATTAATACAACTTTTAAGTTGTACAGCCGGTCTCTGGTGGTTTTGCAATGGTTTTTAAGAAATGCAGCACCAGTAGCATTTCTGTACGTACAGTGAAATAAACGCGTTTCTGGTTGGGAAAACATTTGTTATGACTTTACTAATAAGTCAGTTAAAATTTTGCAAAAATCAGGGCTGAAATTTACATTCAGAAAAACAGGCGTTCTCCTCCTGCTGTTGGAAAAAAGTGGAATTCCAAAGGAAGACACTTTTTCCTTGTTAAGTCATCTGCTACTGGTACTTCTCCCAGTCCTGGTTTCTTCCTTAATTCTCTTTGCTGGAATCACATACCTGTGAGTACTATCAAAGGATGGTCTCCCGGCAGACTCCGATTAAACTGTGAGGCCTGTCCCGCTCTAAACTGCGAGTGATGTGGGACTGACGTAAGAAGGCAACTGGAGAGCTCAGAGCACCACAGCTCTGAAGATGAAGATCTTCTTGAAGTCGCTTTCTAGAGGTATTCACATTCTGCTGGGAACTTGTAATCACCTGTTCAAAAGGGCAGGAATGGAGAAGGAAAAAAAACCACAAACAAATGGGAAAACGGGCTAAGAAATGTTTTCATTTGAAAGGTTCAGTCCTAAATAATACTTCATTTCAGTTACCTAACAATGGAACCCTCCCCGAGGAGGTGTGTGTTTATGCAGCCATCCAGAGACCCTCCTGCTTCTCCTACCCTTACAACCGGTCAGGGCCAAGTGCTACCTGCTGGAAGGTACCGTCAGCCTTGAAAGGCATCAGGCCTCAGATTGGGACTTCAGTGGTGCAGCTACAATGGGGCAAACACGTGTGTGCTTCTCTCTATACAAATGAAAAGGTGACCTGGGGAAAAGGCAGCAGCTCTGCTTTATAATTGACAAATAGAATTTTGGAGCAAATGAAACTCATCTGTTTTTGGAGAAAGAGGTGCTACACTAGCTTTGCTGAGGCTGGAAGAGAACTAAAACCTTGCCAGCCTGGTAAACAAACATCTTGGTGTTAACAGAACTGTCAAGCTACTTCACAAATTGGAATTATACAGCTATTTTACACAAAATTCTGTGACTTCTTAAGTAGATTGCTGGGATGCCCTGCTTTTTCACTAATTAATTATGTTTTTTGACTGGAAAACAAACCTACTAAAATTCTTGCTTTATTGTGAAAAAAACTATGTCTCCCTGGATCTAAGAAATCCAGGCAGGATGAAAATTGGGCCATTGGTTTCTGGTTTTATGATCTAGATAAACACTCAGAAGTTTTCTATACTGCTTTGTTTTGTGAGAAATTTTTTTTTTTCATTTGAAGAAAATTGTTTGCAACTTTCTAACGTTGAGGATTTATTTGATGACCTATAAATTTTGTAAAGCAATAAAACCTGTTAAAATTTAATTCCATACTGACACTCTATTAAGTATGTCATGATAGTACTGCTCTTCTACCATGTGACTAGAGAGGTAACTGATACAGTGCTACTGCTTTGTTCTACGTCATCAGCAGCAAAACTAACCTGCAGCAAGCTGTATTAAATGCTGTGTGTTCCTGCTCCATATCAAACTATCTCGCACGCTGTTTCAGTGTGATTACATCTCGTTTTAATACCTGGCCAGTTTCCCCCACATAGGGATCAGCAGACTAAACCCACAGAAACTACAGTTTCTCAGAAGCGGGGGGGGGGAAGGGAAACAGTCCCCAAGGGTGTAACCTTAATTGTCGGTCCAGCTCTGTGGAAACCCTACAGGCAACCTGAACGCAGTTAGTCAGTGCTGAGAGCATTCTGCTTTTCAAATCTGGCCACAGACAAGGAACTTCATTCCTAGAGCTATCATTCTGATAACAGTAATAGCAAGGGGTGAGTCATCCTCTTTTGGACTGCAAAAAACATCTCTTATTAAACATGCATTAGATAACGGAAGTTGGTGCCACTACTAATTCCCTTGTTTTAAAGGATTCCTTCCAAGCCTTGTGTCTGCTTTTTTCCCAGCTCGAGATGAGAAGCAGCATTATTCCTTCATTTGGAAAAGCAGTTTCTCAATTCTTTTTCTTAAAAATAGCAAGGGTCATTATCATTCTTCTAGCCAGGAGTACGGGTAACTGCACTGGTCTGTTTTGATAGATCGTGGCCTTGCTTGTGTATCTGCCCGTTCTTTTCAGCTAGGAGCTTATGCTGTACTGATACCTGGGTCTGGAAAAACAACAGATCCAAGTCAGTTCTGTGCATCTCCGGATACAAACACAAATTCATGTGCGGAACAGTCACGGGTGCAGAAGGACGTTGGAAATAAGAGTGGGTGATTATCAACGTGTACATCAGTTCCCTGTAGATCTCCGAGGACATTACTGGGTCCAGCTGAAGCGTTTTAAATGTATTTATAGGTGCTTCAGTGTAAAATGCATTGCTGCCCATAAACTTACTGATGCCATGTTGCTATCAAAGAACTTCTGTAGGAATTGTCTGAGGTACATAAAACTGTAAAAACATTTAAAATAAGGTGGATATCTATCACAGTTGAACAACTCTTTAGAACAGAAATGGCCTACCTGGTCTATAATATTGGCACTGAAGATGGCTTCTTCCATGTGTCTCTCATCAGATTTTATTACTGATCGTATGCTGTTCACTACATGACGTACTTCTGGAGGGAGATTACAGTTTGAATGTTCCAAAAACTTTGCCACTAAGATTTTTGTGTCTTTATAGGCCTTAAGGTCCACTAAAGAATGTGGTCGCTCTTTTGAGACTGTGTGCAAAGCCTTTGGCTTTAGGTGTAGATCAATTTTCCTTGAATCCCTCTGTTTTCCAGTTGGTAGGAAACTGCTCAAAGAATGCTGACAAGCAGAGGCAGCCATATGAGAATCAGAAACAGGAACTAAAAAAGGGGGGGAAGAAGATCTTTAAAGTAATAGTTAAAAAAAAGAAAAGCAAAAAAGAAAAAAAAAAAGGCAAAAAAAAA